TGTTGTGTGGCTGTCAGCCTCCCTTCCCCATCTAGCATCACTAGATCTCTCTCTATTATGAGCCTTTCCATTGTTTTTCCTACAATGGATGTAAGGCTAACTGGTCTGTAATTCCCCATGTCCCTTCTACTACCCTTTTTGAAAATTGGGACCACTGATGCCACCCTCCAGTCCTCTGGAACGTCACCCGTTCTCCACGAGGCCTCAAAAATGGAAGCCAGTGGGCATGAGAGAACCCCTGCCAATTCTCTACTCTCAGGTGTAACCCATCAGGACCTGGCGCCTCTGTAATGTCCGATGCCCTGGGGAGCCTCTCAACTTCAAGGGAGGGTGACTCTAATCTGTGCCCCTAAGTCCCCGGCCTCATCTAATCTCCTATGCGGATCTCCCCCATCCTGCTTTGGGGAGAACACAGAGGCAAAATAGTCATTTGGCATCTGTGCCTGTTCCCTCATATCAGTCACTGGATCTCCTTCCTCCTTCTTTAGTGGTCCCACCACTTGTCTCCCGTTCCTCTTCCTATTTACATACTGAAAGAAGCCCTTTTTGTTGCTCTTGATATTCTTGGCAAGTCTCAGCTCATAATCAGCCTTAGCCCTGCGAAGAATCCTTCTGCAATGGGCCTCCTCCTCCTGGAAGATTGTGGCTAGGAGGAGCATTCCATCAGGTATTCCAGTTCCAAGCTCTATATGACTTTATAGTTTAAAATCAGCTCCTTGAACTTGACTTAGAACCATATAAGCAGCCAATGCATGCAGGCCAAAATTGGTCCTATGCATTCCTACTTTCTGGTCCTGGTTAGTATTTTGGCTTCCACATTTTGAACAAGCTGTCATTTCTGTAAAGGGTAGCTTCATGCGGAATGCACTGCAGTAAGAGATTACCAGAGCATAGCATACTGAAATTAGGCTAACCCTGATGGAAACACTATGTGTTATGAAGTGAATGCTAGCTTCCAGAAGTATTAAGGTTGTCAGTGGACATTCAGTTGTTCACTTTGTTTATAACTAAGGCATTAAGACTGAAACATCCATGTCATTTCATGCAGTGTTTCCTTGAATTAAACTTTTATATGAGAGCTAGGAACTAAGAAATCTTACCTAATTTTTAACTGGAACAATTTGATATAACTGTGCAGATGAAAATGGTGATAATTTTTCATCACTTTTCTATATCCTGAAAGATTCCAAAAAGCATTGCAATGGGAGGTTGGACTATGTTGCACAAGGAGCTGCAGTGTTCTGACCCATCCCTACCTAAAGACCAAGCTGTGGTGGGATGAATAACAAAAATAGCTTGCATGTTGGATGCTGAAACAAGAAACCTGGAGCTTATTAGTATGAGGCTGCAGTATATTCTGTACATTGTGAAAAGGACTGAGTTCTTCCTCTGTATGTGAAGGAGCACAATATAGTGCTTAAGGCTAAAGCATGTCATTGATTACGGAGAACACTGTTTCAGATTTCAATGCAAAGACTTTTTAAATTACAGACACTGGCTGAAGTCAGGAGCTTGACCTTTCCCCCGCTGTTCATTCAGAAATATACCCAAGAGGTGAGTATACATTTAGCTTCTCATTCTGGAGCTGTGCTTTAGTTTTCAGCTTTTCTAAAAGTAGGATTTTGTTTACTTTACTATAGAAAAAACATGTTTCTCTTGTCATATTTCAAATTTCCAGTGGTTGCTTGCTAGATAGAAGAAATATGTATCTGTATTTACTTCTCCAACACTCTCAGTTGTTATGTAAAAAAATCTGTGGAGAATGTTGAGAGAAAGAGATGGTGATTGGAATTGAGCTTGCCAGGTGTGAAGCTAGGCAGGCTCCAGTTGTTTGGTCTTTTTCCACAGTTATCCAAACTTTTCCAAGTGACTGACAGTCTGTTGCAACTTTCTCTGGAGATGTTAAGCACCTTCTCAGCCATACTGTCATGTTTGCTTAATGTCTGGAGACAAAAAGCCCTCAGATTCACCTCAACTGGTTTTCTCTGTACTTTTTACAGTTCAGTCTGTGTAGTGGCCAGAATTGCAGAATAAATTAGTCACCTGAGTCTCTTTATGAGGAAGAGTGGGATATAAATTGAATGAGTGAGTGAGTGAGTGAGTGAAGGATCCAGGGAGGTTTTTTGATTTAGTTACACCTGCATCGTTCTTTAATCCTCCTTAGAGTAACTTGTGTAATTTTCACAGGCAAATAGTAATAGAGAAAACAAGATCAGACACCTTTAGACTATAACCCTAGGGCTAAACCCATATTAATTGCAATCTATTCTAAGGGAAATTTTCACTGGGTGTGGTGTGGGTGTGGGGAGGGGGAAGGGAAGGAAAGAGAAGCAGACTCTAGATTCTCTAATATATGGTCTTAAAATGTGCTGAATCACTATATTTTACACTTAAAACTGTGGTTACACTGAGTTAAAATGTCTGATGTGCAGATAAATACTTTGTACATTGGCTGGGATTTACATTTCCTTTGTAGTGAACAAATGCTACCTAGACACTGAGGATAACTGGAAACATTTTCATTGTTTGAAATCACATGCAGCATTTTTTTCCATTTAGTATGCTATGGTAAAGCACATGCTTTCTCCAAGTCCCATGGAAAGACCAGAAGCTGCAGTCATTATAGAAAACCCTATATTTGAAGACTTGGAATTCCCATCAAAACCAGTGCTCAGGCAGAGGTCAAGAACAATAAGTACATCGGGAATTAAGCATTCAAGATAGCTCAATAAATTATTTGGCACAACCATTAAGAACATTCCGAACAGGACTCAGAACCAAGAGAATCTAACATCACGAGCATTCAAGCAGGAGAATCTAACATCAAGCAACATCTCTGAAATAGTAATATTCTGAGGTTTATATGTCAGATTTGTGACATATTATCATTGGCTGAAGCTAAGAATTTAACCTGTTCAGCCTTCTTCCAGTGAATCACTTTCACATAATAGTCTTAGTTCTCAGCAACTTTTATGTTCGAATCTTGTAAATATTTTCTAGGAAATGGGAAAGGATTGCTACTATGTAAATAGAACTAAATCGTGTATTTTTATAGCACAATTCTAAACCTGATATATAGGTCCTGATTACATTAATTTAGCATATGAAGATGATCCTAAAGGAAGGTAAAATATAAATTTCTATTTTGTCCCTGGAGGCTAACTTGCACAATAAGGATGCCATTATTACTCATTTTAGAGCAGATTGTGATGTTTCTTTGTAATACAAGATTATTGAAAAAATGTTAGATGAAAGTGGAAGAAGATTCAGCAGTTTAAAAAAATGTTTGATTACGGGTTCCAATTGTCATTGTAACAAAGCTTATGATAATATTTTGTAATTCCTGTGATGTAGTACTTAATATAACCTTCCCAGCTCATAGTAATCAAGTCTCATGCATTTCTTACAGGATGTTATTGCTCAATAACACCTTTTCTTACTGTTCTCACTGTAAATATGTTAATTTTTATTTATAAAATTGCAAGATCAATCCTTTTGGGTTGGTGGTGTACAGCATGCACTTGGAACAATTGTTAGGTGCATTTAATTACTGTGACTTCATTCAAGTCTGCTTTAATAAAATCTTTTTATTTCGATATGGCTGTTTTTAAAATTATAGATTGTATAACAGTTTTATTTTAGCTCTCTTATCAGTGCCAGGGATCCAAAGATCTTTTGGATATGTGTGGGGACAGAACTACACACACATACATATACATGTTGCTTCACCATCATCATATTGCACACAGCTTCTGAAATGATTGCAGACCCTTATCAGTACTTTCTGGGTAGATACAAAGAAATGCAGTGAGAAAGCTGAAAAAAATCCCAGTGCATGCACATGGTCCTCTCACTACTGCTGCTATGTATTACGACTACCACCACCACACATTGCATTTATATCCTGCTTTTTTCCCTCTTGTGAGAAACTCAAGGCAGTTTATATAGTTCCTCTTCTACTTCACTTTATCCCCACAACACGTTAAGGGTGAGTGAATGAGTGGCCCAAAGTCACTCAGTGAGCTTCATGGCTTAATATGCCTAGAATCTGGATCTTCCAGGTCCCCAGTCCAGCAGTCTAACCACTGCACCACACTGACGCTAATACTATCTTATATATTCTGCTCTTCGCTGTCGTGTACTAAGAATACTGCATATGATGTCTTCTGAATGCCACCTGAAAGGAAATCCATCAATAAAACCTGTTGTTCTTACTGGAAAGGTCTTCATCTCTTGGCTAATTCTCAACTGCTTGTTCCCAGAATGCATTCTACATTTTCTATTAGATATTTAAGCAGATGAACAAGTGAATAGTTCCATGTTTTTTGAGAGTACAGGTCATACTCTGTGTTCATTTCCTATTTGCTCCTTACCTACAAACCCATCTAAATTGTCAATTTGAAACAATATATAAGGTAACAGTAGTACTATTGCCAGTAATTGTGGCAATAGTAATATTGATGTGGGAAAGCAAAGAGCAAAGACTTCCAGGACTGTAAGAAGGCTTGTGGACAGATGGTATGGTAGTCTGGTTTTTGGAAGACTTAATATGCTGCAAAATCTGGTAGCATACCTCAATAGGAGTAGGGAAGTGTTCTCTACTAGCTGCTTTGGTTGCCAGATTTTCCTTCCAGGCAAATACTGGGATGCTGCTATGTACATTTAAGGCCCATTTAAGGCCCATATGCATCCTCTGTATATTCCCAGAGGCTCATTTGAAATTTGCTTTCAGTACAGTTGCCACAGCTATGATGGGACAAAGCAGAGCTTTCATAGCTGCAACACCCCTTCTGTGGAACCTGCTTCCAAAATTTACCCTCCCCTTGCTTAAAACAGTTGTAGGACAAAAGAGACTTCAAACCATTACTGCAAAGTTAAGCTGTCAGAGGAGAGCTGGGAAAGAGCAGGGTAAATCAAGCAATGGAGGGGACAGCTAGGACTTCTTAACACCCCACTCCCAACCTGGGAATCTTGTTTGGAAGCAGGGAGAAGGTTCTTGGGGAGGGTTAGGATGTTTTTGTGCCTCTGCTATTCATACCTGGGAAAATGAGAATTGCATGAGGCCAGATCTCCCTCTCCCACACAAAAGCCCTAAGGAGTCTACTACAAAATCCTTAGGGCTTTACGCATGCACACCCTTTAAAAATACTTTAAAACAACAGTGAGCTACTAAATGGCAAGTTGACATTCACATTGTGTTACTGCATTCATGTCAAATTGCTACTTTATAGCCCACTGCTAACTTTTTAAGGGTTGGGTGTGTAGAAAAATTCTCTGCAGTTTTGAAGGGTGTTCAGGTAGCCCTGCACTGCCATCATTTTTCCAAGTGTGGATTTCACAGAGGGGTTTATTTTAAAGTCAAGCCATGGCCCACACTAATGGCTTGCTGCTATTTAGGGAGCATCTCAGTGTTCCTGCAGTGTCCCCTGGACGGACTGAGGTGATGAGGAAGAGGATGAAGGAGGGGGCACAGAATCCCTGTTGTGCCTGATTTTTGGTCAAGCACAGGTGAAATTTAACCACAGTGTATGGTTAAAGTTTCCAAAGGGCTTCACATGAACCTACCACTTCTTAATTTCTCCTGCCACATGCTATTACATCTGGAGGAATCAAAATTATTAAACTGGACAGTAGCTTTTGAGAATGGTCAAAACGTCTGTTAAAGCACTACGAACACTGGTAAGTTAAACATGACCTACTGTTGATCAAACAGTACTGTTTTCTCTGCAACCAGTTTCTTTCTGTCTGCCCCACACTCATTTCATGGGGGGTAGGTTGGGAAAGAATGAAAAAAGGAACAGCGGGAAAGGCTTTGGGCTCCCTGGGAGAAATGACATTTAGTATGAGCCAGATATTTCAGATGGATTTTGTTCAGAAAGGCCCAAGAGAGTTGACAGTGGTACCTTGGCTCTTGAACATAATCCGTTCCAGGACTCTGGTCATGACCCAAACTGGTCATGAACCAAGTTAAATTTCCGCATACGGTTCAATGTAAATAAGGTCAATCCATTCTGTAACTACTTTTTAAATCAAAAAATGTAAAGCAAAGTGACAAAGTTTGCGGCCATCTCTCCCCTCCCCACCCTGAGCACAAGCATGGCCATCTCCCCACCCACCCCCAGCTTGACTGTGATTGTGTCCCTCATCCCTGCACATGCCCGTCATCCCGGCGCACTGGAGGGGAAAAGGCGGGCACGATTGTACTGGGTGGGAGGAGATGGCCAAGATCCCCATTGTGCTCCTGCAGGAAAGATGGGCACAATCGGGCGCGCTTGTGCAGGAAAGACGGGCGCAATCTCTGCCTTCTCCCCCCACCCAACCCGCCCAGCATGATCACAGCCATCATTGGAGCGGGGTAGGGAGATGGCCGCGATTGCAGTCGCCACCCCATGCAGAGTTAACGACCAGAGTCAAGAATTTGATGAAATTTTTGTTTGCGACCCAATTTGGGTACTCCTGTAGTCCAGAAACTGAGATGTTGCGGGGCAGGTACAGTGGGTTGTCGACCTATCTACAGTATTGACTTGGTTAGTGCAAGATGCAAAATTCATGGAAGCATGTCAGATGAAGGGGAGGGGACAACAACCGAACATTTAATTGCAGAAGACAAACCAGCCATGAAAGAGCATCAGAGCCTTATGTGAAATAATGCAGCAGCAAATCCTTACTTTTTTGTCAGTTGTTTATTGAAAAGATGCAACAACTTGAAGAATTCTGTTGATTATTGATTCTAAGTTCTCTGTGTGCACTTGAACAAAGGCTCTGCTTTTGCTCTGGTAAACAATATTATCTATACCTAACTGTGGCATACAAAAATATATTTATAAGAAAAAAAATATAAACAATTGCCTGTGGCATGTAAAAGTCTTTGGGACTTATTAATCCCATACCAAAATTTCCATGGTTGTCATCCTATGTTGCTTGTAGACTACGATGAGAAAGAAAATTACTGGGCGAATGAGGCCAAGTTCTTTCAGATGCAGAAATAATGGATTCCTCAGTGGAAATGAATGCCAAGTTCTTTTATTTCTATAGGAAATAGAAGCGTTATTTTGCACAATGTATAGTTAACTTATGGAATTTCCTATGCCAATATGTGATGGCCACTGACCTTAAATCAGTCAAATTCATGAACAGCATGAGCCATAATGGCTGAATAGAACTAGGAATGGTTGACTCATTCTATTTCTGTTCCATGTCACTTTTGCAAGTGGCCTAGATTACTGGACCTACCTTGATATTGTACCTTTTAGCCTAGTTCAGATAAGAATATAAAAACAGAAACAGAGTGAGTCAGAAGGGGCCTCCTGGCCATCTAGTCTAACCCCCGGCCCCTGCCATGTGCATGTCCAGCCTATCCTTAAACACCCTCAATGATGGGGCCTCAACCACCTCCTGTGGAAGCCCATTCCATACCCTAAGGGTCCTAACCATTAGGAAGTATGTCCTGGCATCCACCCTAAATCTTGGTTCCCTGAGCTTTGCTCCATTGGAACGCATCCTGCCCTCCACTGCAGGGGAAAAATGGTCATGAGCCACATCTGAGTGGCACCCCCTCACATACCTGTATGTTGCTAACAGGTCCCCTCTGAGTATCCTCCTCTCAAGGCTGAAAAGACCCAGCACCCTCGGTCTCTCCTCATATGGCTTACCCGGCGAACCAGCCACCTTCCTAGTGGCCCTTTGCTGCACTGAATCCAACCTTGCTATATCCCTCTTGTAATGAGGGGCCCAGAACTGAACACAATACTCCAGCATTGCAAGACAGGAAAAGCCTTGAACTTGTAGACCCAACCACTGGGAATTTCTCCCGTGAAAGCTTCATGAATGGAAGATGCATAAGAGACCAGCTCTTGTTCATATCAATGGGTTATGTAAGAGAGCTTCCTGGTAGATTGTGTCCATAAGTACCAAGACAAGCCTTTCCATAAATGGCCACCCCTTCCTTTCCCTTCCTATTATTTTGCTTTGAATAGTAGAAAATATGTTTATTTTGACAGGACAAAATTAAGTATTTATAGAACACGTTTAGCATTCAAAGCATTTACATAGGTTAGCATACCAATCTGCAGGAAAGTCCTACCCAGTAGGCCAGATTTCATTTGCCTCTTTTAAATTCTGAGGAATTACAGCTGGAATCTGAAGATCTACTTTACAACACCTACATCATATCTGTCTTGGGAAAGCCCTCTTAATTTCAAAAGTATTTTGCTGTGTGGCAAGGCTGATGGCAGAGAGTGCTACTTAACAAACACAAACCCGAACCCATTTGAGCAGAGAGAACACACTCATAAGAATGCGAGTGCTCTGTGCAATTAGTGCAAAAGCTCATGGAACTCAGCCTCCCACATGGCCCATCAGGTGGATCCAGGTTGGCTTCAGGAAACAAATCTTAAAGGCAGGAAACCTCTGCTGCTCTTTTCCTGCATCAGCTTGTTTCCAGCAGCATAAACACCTCTGAGCCTAGTTCTGTGAAGCCTGACCTATATTGTCCAATTCTAAATTTGTAGGCTTAAAAAAAGAGAACATCATGACTTGATGGGGAGAGGTCATAGATCTCTTTTTCTAAATGCTTTGTGCATTGTGAAATGTTACA